TTTTTTTTTTTTTAATTTTTTTTTTTTATTACAAAAAAAAAAAAAAAAAAAAAAAAAAATTGCATGCTTCAACTGCCGTGTTCGTTATTTATTAATTGTGCACTAATAATATCTTTTCTTTTCTTCATTTAATTTCTTTAAATTTAAATTAATTTTATTGCAATAACATAACGCAACGCTTCTATAGGAAATAAATTAAAAATGATTTAAAGAGCGCATAACTCGGTGACTATTACAAACATTTCTATTTAAATTAAGACTTCTTGAACCAACTAACTTTTTTCGAGATCTGTCTCTTCTCAGAGTTGGAAATGCTAATTTCTTCTTTAGCTAAGCGATTTAAAGAGACTTCAACAACGCTTTTCTTTCTTCATTTTTTTAGTTTAAGCTTAAAAGCGAGTCAAATAATTAGTGTATGTCGAAGCCTCCCCCTAGCAACTCAGCCGAGATTATTGTTATCTTTTCCGTATATCGGGTCAATTTTAATCGATTGATTTCACCTATCGTAGAGAGACTCCAGCGGTGGCTAAATTTCCGAATTTAAAACGAATTCGATGTGTTTTTAGTTTGAAACAGACCACAAGGCCACAAGGTTTCGCTAGGAATACACTTTCAACACTTATTGTTATTACCGTAAATTATGCTTTCAAAACATTTTTTTGTCGTCCTATCATTTATGATATTTTCGTTTACATATTCGTGTAGAAGATTTTGCGCGTGATCAAGCTCTGATTAAAAATTCGATTTTTCAAGTGAAATCGTTGCTTAAAATTATTTCAAATTTGATATTTTTCTCTTAATCTGCGATGCTCCTCCAAGAAAAATAGGCTTTTCAGATCTCTGGAAGTAGAAATTACGGCAGGCAGCATGCTGGCGGTCATGTTAATGAATACCGAAAGATAAAGGATGAAGATGCGTCACAGGAAAGCGGCAGCCGAACCCCTAATCTCAGGCGAGGACGCGGGAGGTAATGCGAAAACAATAGTATGACCCCAGAGTAGTGCAATCAGTTAATTAGTAAGTGCATAGAAAAACAAAAAGAGAAAAAATATGCTCCATACCACAAGCCGTGTAGGGCATAGGAAGGCCGTAACATGCTATTAACATATGCGTGGCAACATAAATGGACTGACAGGAAAAGGTGTTACCTCAGTTCACCTTCAAATGAACACAGATGCAAACGTTTATTCTGGAGCTCATTTCGTGGATTATTTTCAACAATTTCTCGAGAAAAAAGAACCGGAATATTTTGACTTAAAAATGTGTGAGAGTTCATTAAGGTAATTCCGTTTGAACAAACGACAAATAATAACTACTCCCCTGTTAGCACACACCACATGTGTAGTTCTATTTTTTAGACCCTAACATGTATAGGGGTTATTACGAAAAGCAAGCCTTTATGTGACGAGAGAGTTCAATTTCTAGTTTTTTATGACGGAAACCGAAGAATGATAAAATTTTTGAAAAGTAAATTAAGTTTGCCAAAATGGGATCACGTCATGTGATGTATTGTGCATTCCCTATTGCGAGGGCTTTGCCTAAAAACTCATGTGTAACTTTCATTTTTTATTACCCAAACAAGTGAATAACTGCACTAAGCGAGGCAGTATTGGGTATATAATGGTCGGCCTTGTCCACCACACTATTTCCTCTTACTTGTTTTTGTTTTAGTAGTTTTGTGTTTATTTCATTGACCAAAAAAAAGTATAATAATAATAATTATGACTTGTAAGGACTTGTAATGTGAATAGAGGGCTTTGAATTTTTTTTTTTTTTTTTTTTTAAATAAACGAATATTTCCCCTTAATGAGTTTGTCACGAAAATTCTTCACGGCTAGTAAATATGAAACCATAACACAGCGGATACCCTGCGTGTAGGAAAGAATAGCAGGCAACAGGATTTAAGGGTTTAATTTGTAAAGGAAGTTTTTAAAATATTTTTATGGCGTTTTTTAACCCTCCCTCCAGTTTGGTCTCTTGCTTTCTCACTCTTTTTTTTTTCTTTCATTTTTTAATCGAATTACTTTACAAAGTTTACGACTTTCCTAATACTATCCGTTTAACATAAAAGTTTTTATAGCAACTTGATGTTCGCAATAACGGTACGTAAATAAAAAGAAAACATGCATAAATCATCAGTAAATCAAATAATTTATTCTTTCTTACATACTTTCACGATGTTGTGAAAAGTTTAAACATTAAAATAATTTTTTTTTTTTTTATTATTAATTTTTCTTCTTTTTTTTTTTTAATTTTTTATTTAATAAACGATTTCTTTTTCTTAAAGACTTGGCGTCGATGGAGGAGTATTGGTGTTTTCAAGAGTTTATTGCTTTTCATATTATTGCTTTCAATTTATGGTATTTTCAAAAGACTCACCGCTACTATGCATTATTTAATCAATGATCATTTAACACTATTGTGTTGCTTATTCATATAAAATATATTTGTATTGAAAGTAACGCTAATTAAATTTTAACGCTTTGTTGGCTGTTGTTTTTCATTATTGTTATTTAGTTTTAGCTTTGGTTTTTTTTTTTTTTTTTTTTTTTGTTTTTTTTTTTTTTTTTATTTATATGTAATTCATTACATTCCTACTATTTAATCCTGTTCCTCCTCTTCCTCCTCTTTCTTATTCTTCTTCTTCTTCCTCTTTAGTTTTTTAAACATATTTATGCTTTCTTGATTGAATAGTTTCACGTTTTCACTGTTTTTATTTTTTTTTTTCTTCGCTCTCTCATTCTTCGAAATATCTCTGATGCGAATATGTTGCGGTTATGGAAAAACAAAAAAAAAAAATAAATAAATAAATAAAAATTATAAATTACAACTACATCTACAACAATAATAATAATAATAATAATAACAGCTACTTAAATCCGCTGATGCTTCATCTGATGATGAAGGTTGGCTGTACACGTCGGCCTCAACACCAGCCGCACAACAACAGCAGCAAAAGCATACGGCCACAACAGCCATTGATTGTTTGAATTCCATCCACAGTCGAGGTTCGGTTATTAATCATTATTCCAGTGAAATTACTGACGGTATTCAGTCATCGACTGTGTCATCATCTACTGCCACCGCGGCGGCAATTGCGCAAACGGCAGTAGTCGTTTCCTCTTCAACAGTTTCGACCATTTTAGGTGACGATTCTGATAAAGAAAACAAAGATATTTTGTCATCTTCTGCAAATTTGGCCAAAATTCATTTGGCTCTTAATACGCATAATACAACATATTCCGCATGCAGCACTACCAGCATCATTGAAAGCAGTTCAAGTTCGAGCGGGGCCAGCAGTAGCAGCAGCAGCAATAATAGTTCAGGTGCTTCATCGAACGATATGCTTACGGAGGCCACCACTACCAGTACGTCATCGAGGACTAACGCTACACAAATCTTAAATACGTGTATCGCTCAACGCAACGAAAAAATGGACGGATCGCATTTTAATAGCAATTCAATTGAGAATAATATAGAAAACTGCCACAATAGTAATAGCAACAAAAAAACGGCTTCTTATAAAACTGTAGCTCAGTTTGTCATTACCAATCACAAGCGCAATGAACACAACCATAATTATACCAATTCATCGATGACAACAAAAGCATCATTGGCCGCAAATTCACACAACAACAGTCAACGCTATGAAACGTCAACGCAATTGGTGCATCAACATCCGTTGCCTGCTTCACAACAAATAACTGCTGCAACATCATCACTCCCATTGACTACATCAACCACAGCTTCTGTGTTACCGGCAGCCTCCGTTGACGTTACCAATGGCAATTTGGAAAAGGTAAGAATCATATGAAATTCTTTTGGACGATGATAAAATAACTTAAATGTCTTGCGGCCTATCCGCACCACCATTCTGCTTTCAAAGTTAAGGAAAAAGTAAAACTATGAGTCTTGCTCAGCAGAAATAGAAGAAGATAGCATAGGAATTTAGCTAATGATGCCAGTGGTTTTCTTTCTTTCTATTTTTCCTTTTTTTTTTTTTTCTTCTATTCTTTCCTTTGCTTGTATCATTGATTATTATTTAAAAAAAGAAAAAAAAAAATGATTGAGAAAAGAATGAATTTCTTGAGAAAACATTTCAACAGACATAAATAATTGAAATTATTTTGCAATAGTAACAGGTTCTGTTTTTTTGAATAAAGAGAAACTGCCATCATAAGCTTTGCATTTATTTGCGGCTTCAAAAAATTTATCCCCATATCACACCATAAGATAAATATTATCCGATTTTAAGATAACTCTTCAGATGATACTTTTCAAAATATTCTTAAGAGTAAAAACTATCTTTATTTACATATATACATGTGATACTATCACTAATTAAGATAGTAAATAAAGAGAAGAGAGAGAGAAAGAGAGAGAGAAAGAGAGAGAGAGAGAGAGAGAAAATAAATAAAGACCTTTCTGCAATTTTCATAACGATCAGGAGTAGGAATATTTTCAGCTTATCAGGCGCTTCTCCAATAATGGGTAAAAGCACGGGTCCCGTAATTTAGCTATAATGTTAAGCTACGTAAGAATTAGAATAGCCCAGACGGCCTATTAGATTGTACCAACCGATTGTGATGTGAACTCTTACACTTGCAAAAATTTGCATTGCAACCTGAAATTCATCTTTCTTCTTACTTACGGACCTGCCCGCCACAACCAGCCTGTAATAGGTAAAGAGTTTTAAGAAAAAACCAGCAAAACTTCACGATACTTAAAGCCCATGAAACATATTTATGTACACATAATCGTTCCACTAGACTATCCGCCATTTCCGTTTTGATCTTTATGTATCTGTGTATGAGATGAATAGGCACCGCCTAGACAAGTTTTCTTTACATCTCGGTTTATAAAGATAAAAGCGACGCCGAGTATCCCTCAATTTTTTTTTGTTAGTTGTAACACTCTTTAGGTTGAAAGGTGAAAAGTTAGCGAACTTCCCTATGAAATAGTTTTCAACGAAAATCTTCTATTCACCTTATTTGAGGACAAATTCGAACCTAACCCTAATTTCGCTTCGATCCGCCTGAGTAGCCGAATAGGTAAGAGCCAGTGTCAAATACCAAGTCAATGTCGTAGCTATGGTCGTAGCTATAGTGACTGCTCAGTCTATCAAGAATAACACTCCACATTTCTTTCTCTTTTCTCTCTTCTTTCTGACAATCACCGTGTTACACGCATAGGAGAGTAAGTGGTCATATTAAAAACAAAAAAAAATACTGATTTGGTAGAATGTCGGTGAAGGTTAGGTAAGTATCCTTGCAAATCAGGTAATCCGTAGATAGCTGACACGACTCGAATGTAACACTTCGAAAAATTTATCTTTGCCTTAGAACGCAACTCGTCTGATTTCAGTAGTAAGCCTAAAAGCGAGAGCAAAAAAAAATTTGATACAAACTTTTTAGCTTTTAAATCGAACATATTGAAATTCGATCCTGTGAATTATCACCATGCCGGCAATGTATAGTAAAAATTCCCGGAATGGCTGACCAAATGTATAAGGAAGTAAATGATCCAAAGCTTAATTTGTATGAGACATATCTTCAATCAAGAATTTCAATGGTAGATAAACATAGATAGGTAAGGCAAATGATATGGAGGAAAAGGGCTAGTCTGAATATAACGCTGGTTTAAGTGACCAACTAATATATGCCGTGCATTGAATACTAAACCTCTCGGTCGATATTCGCTTAACATTTGCAAACTGTAGCGCAAGAAGCGATTGTGTTCGCCTTACGTTGAACTTGTTGTTCTCCACCGATCTTACACAATTTCCAATAGATTAATAAGAGACAATAAGCCGTGGTTTGTTGGTATTTGCTTTGCCGTAAAGCTTCTATTCTAAATTATAATTAATCGACTGTCTTCGTGTATTTTGATATTATGTTTATCCGATTAATGCCAGATGTACAGAAATCCGAATAAATGCGCTTAATGTAAATGCTTTAATGTGTACGCTTGCCTCTGCTTGGCTGCCTGAGTGCATGCGTTTAAGTAAAACTTATGCATGAATTATGCGAGCTTGTTTCATGCAAGCTTGTTTCATGCATGGTTGAAAACAGCAATAATTTTTTTTTTTTTTTTTTAAGGTTATGTACTCAGGCACAGGCTAATAGGTCTCATAGTGCATACAATAATAATTTCATGGTGAAATGATTTAATTTTCATTTATTTTTATTAATGACTAAAGATTTCTTTTCCATATTGTAAAAATATATTTACATAATATACATAAAATATTTTTCACAAATTAACAAATGATTTCCGTTACATTGTGGTCTGACACTTTGCTGTTGTCGCTGTTGTTTATTTATGTTTTTCTATTTTATTTTATTTTATTTTTTTTTATTTACTGCAATCCTAAGATAAATGATTGAAGAAAAACACAAAAATTATGAATTGTCTTTAAGCAGAAAAGTGGAAAAAAAAGTGCTTGTGTTACCTCAAGCTTATGCTCATGCTTATGCACATAAAATATTAATAATGAGCGGAAATCATGATCAAGCCGTTGTCCGTATATTTGCCAGTTAGTCAACTACTTTTCACCAAAAGCATTTGTACACTTTTTTTTTTTTTTTTTTTTTTTTTTTTAGTTGAGTAGCTATTTGTTACGGTTTTCATGACAATTTGTCTTCAAATTAGAGAAAAAAAAATAAATAAATAAATAAATAAATAAAAATAAAGAGCAAGAAATGTCCAATACGTGGCATTTTGAAAGTAAACGAACGAAATGGAATAAAAAAAAAGAAAAATTATAATCAGCTTAGGCCAAATGCAAAACACCGTTTGTATTACATCTGACCGAACACTTTGAGAGAGTATTGGTAAAGGACACACATTTTCATAGTTGCAAATCTTTGGACCGGACAAAAGTAATCTTTCTTTTCTGATCCAAGCTACTTACCCATATCCAACTAAGATTTGCTTCCATTTATAAAACGAAGATTACAAATTAAGCTCTTCGTTGATATCTGCAAGAAAAATGCTTCGAATAAAAGTTATTATCCTTCTTGACATTTCCCTTCCCTTATGTTCGCTATAAATTTTCCACAAAACCTTTTTGCCATCCATATATCCCTTACGTCATAGATTGCTAACAAAAAAAAAAGCATTAAAAGTTGTTTTTAGGTTTTCCAACTATATAGATTTTGTGTTGAGGGACCGACTTAAACACAGATCTTCATCTCCTCGACAAAATTGTATGAGGAACCTACGTGTATCGGTGAATATTCAGACTTTATTCCTATTTTTTTACAAAATTGACATGGATATAGCTAATTCGATTCAGAATTTTAAACATATGCAATCATCGACGAGGTTTTATATGCATATATATATTGTGAGGACCCAAAATTGTCCCTCGTTTTGGCCTCACGGGTTCTCTGTCTCTGGCGGGGGAAAGAGGGTAATAGAATAGGATAGAGAGTAAGCTAGCGTAGGAGAGAGAGTAAGAATAGAATAAGAATAGGGTTACGAATAGAGTAAGAATATGATAGGAATAGAATAAAAATAGGGTTAGGATATAGAATGAGAATAGGTTACTACTAGGCTAGAGTAGAATAAATTAGAATAATTTAGGTGATTCTTAGTTTGATCGTCGCCGTGACAGTCTTGTTTCAGCGTCGTTAAGAGCGAGTCATAATAGTAATAATAAAAGTGAAATATCAAATTGAACAATAAAGGTCCCTGTAAAAAATAAATTTTTTTATGTTCTCCTGGGCCGCTGAGCTGCCCCAGCCCCTAGAGAATCGGCCGAAAGGTCCTCACAATATATATGTATTCTAAGTATTAGTTTCTTCTTTTGCTAGCTATATATAGTTCTTCCTGGTCACGGTATAGATGGCTACATGTATAGAGCGCATCTCCGAATAAAGCCACCGCAATGAATTATTTTCCTTCACTTTTGGTTGGTGGATATGAAGGATGTTGGATCGAATCCGTCGATATTTTTGGAAAATAGTTCATAAAGATTTAAGAAGATATGTAACATTTTAAAAAAAGGTATTAGTGGAAGGGAAAATTTAAAGCGTATAGTGAAGGGACAGAGAGGTGTTTGTGTAATAGAATAGAAATAAAATTATTGTCGAATTCGAGGTAGAGAATAATCTCAAAATTTTTTAAATGTCCAAATGCAGAGAAACTCCTGTGTACGGCTGACTTTAAAGGCTTTAAAGTTCAATCAAAAAATAAAAGTTAGAAAACCTACGGTGTAAAAACATTGAAGGACTTTAATAAATAAACTTTTTTTTAAAATAGATTATAGGTATAAAGTATTCGACTTACGCTTATTACAACAAAGTTTTCGGATTTTTTTTTTTTTTTTTAACATATTGAAAACTTTTTTCAGGAAACCATACGTTGCCATACACGTGCAGATATGGATAATATCAGTGTCAGACAAGCAACAGCCAATAACCAACACCATCACCACCTTCACCACATAAGCAATAATACTAACAACAACAATAACAACAGCAGCGGCAATAACAATAATAATAATAACAAAAGTAATAGCAGCAGCACCAACAACAACAACAACAACAACAACAACAACAATAATAACGGCAATGACAGCCAACAACAGCCACAACAACCGACATCATTATACGGCCAACAATTGCATGTAAATGTTGGCAAACGTTTACCACCACGTTCACCGGCCAAATCAAATATTTCTCATGCCTCCACCGGTACAAGTACGTCCACCTTGTCACCCACCACCAAGGTAAATTGTTGCAATCACATAAGTTCAAATTCAATGATCTATATACATATGATATTAAAGTAGGCGGTTGATCGGTTGGCCAATATGTACGCTTATGTCTTATGCCTTATGTCTTATGTCTTTTTTGTGTGTTGTGTGTCTCGGTTCAAGTTATGTTAGGTGACGGAGAAATTGAGCTTTCAAAATAAATTATAAATGATCGAAATTTAAGCGAAACGAACAGAATGCATAAAATATGTGTAAACACATGATCGATTACTATTCAACGTTAAAACATATGAAATTTAATATATTTGCCGGTTGGGTTACGTGACAAGGAGTTAATAATGAAAATTATACGATGGGAAAATGTTGTGAAATAATTTACAGTTTCTTCTTCTTTTTTATTTTTACTTTTTTATTTTTTTTTTATTTTTATGTTTTTGTGTGCTGCTTTGTTTATTGTTTATTGTCATTTTTGTACTCGTTTTAACCTTTTCCACACTTTTCATGTTTTAGGCAAATGTTCGCATAAAGTCCGGTTTCATAAATTATTTATGCCACCAGCGCTTTTGTCTCCACAAAAAGACGCTTTTCACAGCTTTTTTTGTATGTGCGTACTCCTTGCCGCGAAATCTTCGTCCTCCCTGCTATAGCAGCAGTCAGTTGTAAAACAACATTTCTGTGAATTCCAATTTTATCTTTTACTTAAAGCCGACTTTTTACGCACGTTTATGTTATTCTCTTTTTTTTCCTTTCGGGAATTTTCTTTACAAAATTTAGCTTTGTTGAGTTCGATAAACAATATTTTTTTTATTTTTTTTTTTTTGAAGAAAAACGGTTCATGTAAATTTGCATGTTACATGATCAGTAATGATATTATTTGAAAATTTTTTTTCAATTGTGTGGGCCTGGGGTTATTGGTGTTGTTTTTATTGTTGTTGTTGTTGTTGTTGTTGTTGTTGCCTATGTTGCTATTTATTAACATTTAATTTACATATAAACATGCTGTTAGCCTTTTCTTCTTTGTCGAATTACTTACGTTTATGGGCTTTGCTTGCGAGGCCTGTGTGGCTATCGCATAATATTTGACTTTGACACTTGTTACTTCATGATCGGGGGATATACAACAATACCATAATGCACTTTGCATTCATGCGTTTCGCTTATGGCGATTCCATAAATTAAATAAGCACGTACGCACGCACGCACGCATGCATGAATGCATATATGTACGCACATACGCATACATTTGTACGAATATACGAATCAGTATGTGTTTACGTCCACATACATATGCATAAGTCATTGCCAAGGAGAATTATCGTCTTGTCAACAACAACGACAACGACGGCATTTTCCGTAATCTCGTATCTTGCTGCGGTATTTATTGTCGGTACGAACGCACCGTGTGTTGTTGATTGAAGTGCGCAAACAATCGTAGACGCCTTAAACATTTATGTGTTAATAGTTTTTTCGTTTCAGTTTTTTTTTGGATATTTTGGATTTCATTTCATTACTTATCAGTCAATTGAGATTTTAATTATGGCTTTCTATGGAAAATTTATTTTAATGCATTTCCATCATATCGCTGTGTGTGTGTGTGTGTGTGTGTGTGAAAATGACTGACTCTCTCGCGAAAGGCATTTTTAGCTAAATATTACGATGATAAACATTTGCGAAAAATCGCAAAAAAAAAGTTTTGACACAAATATCTTCGGGCAGAAGAATGCTTTAGAAACGAATGAAACTATCAATTAAAATAATTATTTTAGCGAAATAATTGCACTTCTCTTTTAGTATATTAGAAATTCAAAGTTTAAATTTATGAAATCTTATCTAAATCTGGTAACTATGCCTAGATCTGTTAAAAATATTGTAGACTCTTATCTATCTGTAAATCGAAATATGTGTTTTACAGTCCAGTCAATGCTAAGCAAAGACAAATGCTCTTGCGAGAGAGTCTCTTTTCATTTTTACAAAGTATTTTCATCTTAAATGAAAATCCTTCAGTCCATTTGATATAAGCGATTTTCCCTCACCCGCCCATACTTGATCATTGTGGAACGTTATAACCATGACCATGACTTTGACTTGCATGTAGCAATAATCGTAACTTCATACCGTTTCCTAATGATAAGATGTTCTAATATAAAAGATTTTCTCTGCTTCTATTTAAAATTACCCAACAAAATGATAATTAATAAAATATAATAAAATACCTTTAGAAGTCAAGAATATCTCAAATTTAAAGCAAAATATCATTCTTTAAAAAACTTGATATCTATCTGCTTCAAGTCTACCAAATATTAAATGGCTTTTCTATAAAGTTACTCGTATAAATTTTAGTTATCATATTTTCTTCCTTCCTTTTGCTTTGTGTTATTATACTTTCATTACACCCTACATCAATTGGTGGTACAACGAGTTCGTTCGAATTTATGCAACAGCCAGATGAACTTGAGATAGACCTACCTTTCATTATACCGATCGGATTCGGAATTATTTTGTGAAACGATCTCTCTGTCGTGTTTTCTTGTGTTCAATTTTCACGCCGCGAGGACGAAAGCTATTGAAAATATTTCGAATCAGACCCTCTTTTCGACAACTGTAGAGAATCTAATGGTGGGCCGTGTCCCACTATAGTGCTTGTACTTAAGTAATTTCTCTTAAAATGCAAGGCAAAAGATTGCGAACATTCGAATAAGGATAAGTTTTACTATACTGAAAAAAAAATTTGCGTATTAATAATTCCAGTTACTCCTTGCTTCAATCCTTCATCGTTTTCTTTACATTTCATTTTGTGGTTTTCATAAATTAACCTGAAGAGGGTTTTTCTATCACTTTTGCTTCGGAAAACATAATTTGACACAAAATGACAGAGAGGATGACAGACAAACACAAGAACAAATTTCATATGGCAGTTAGTTGCATGATAACAATGCGAGAATAGGGCAATATTTAATATAAATTTGATACAAGATCACAACAACTACAACAAGAAAATATATTGTTGTCTTTCTATAACAAGTGCGGCATTTGTCAATTTATTTTTAATGTTAATGTTATAACATCAAATTGATTGACTAATTTAAGGAGCTCTTTTTATTCGAAAACCATTGCCTAGTTTCTAGTAAATCAGAACGTTTCTCTTTTTTTTTTAATATTGCCCTTGCATCTTTGGCGCGGTACCTATCATAATAACTGTTAATAAACATTTCTCTATATCTTCGAAAATAAAGGCATTTTGGTAGAACATGACACAGATTTATTTTTATTTATAATCAAAAGTGATATACTAAATCATTAACAATGGGGAACTTCAAAACCTCTACAGAGCATATTTCTTAATTTGAATCAAATTCTGAATCGAGGTAGCTATATCTGTCCGTCTGCGTTGACGTTCCGGCAAAATTGCCACAAAAATTAAGATGTCGACTTCAAAGTTGATAGAAACATTGGGAACACAATAAAGCGTAAGCTGGAAATAGTTTTGTTCCTCTCGGGTTCCTTTTCGGCATAAATGGAAATTGCTCTACTTTACTTTATGGAGTGTCGTCCTCCCGACTGTTAGGACAAACTCTACGGAAAAGATGTTAAATAATTAAATATTAGTTTGGCCTCGACATTGGCAAGAGAAGGCAAAGAGCTCATAACTGCTTTCACATTCTGGCACTTCAAAAGTGATGAGATGTTTTAATTGATGTGTGTTCGGGTGTTGGTCTACTCAATGATGGACACACCGGTTATCTTCCGCTATGTTGTTTGCGTGTAAATCATTACTAACAAGCAATTGGTATGAGTAATTTTCCAACCATTCCCATAATCGCTACCATTAAGCGAACTCTTTGCTATCTCTCTATGTTTCTATGTCTTTAAAGATACTTTTCCAGTGCAATGCATTTCCATTTTTTCATATCGCATTGCGTTTTTAAGCTACAGATAAATTTTGGCGCTTTTACGAGAAGAATATATACTCTCTTTGGTCATAAGTGCCTTGCAGAAAATAAAAATTTCATAAAATATACTTTCAGCGAAGTTGCATAGCGTAAAACTGTCTGAAGTCCATCTCTAAGCACAGTCTTCTCTTCTTGACTGAAAAAGTTTAAACAATTTAACCACAATTGTTAACCAGAGCCGTATACCACTTCATTGATAGATACGTTCATAGTTACGGTAACAAAAAAAAATTAATAATGATTTTCATAGACTCGCCTTGGGTGGTGAGTACCCAAGACTTGCTTTAAGGCCAATTTTTTGTGGTTTTTTTTAAATATCATTACAAAAAATGCTTATTTATCTATTGAAAACTAATCAATTCCTAACGTTTAGCTATCCGAATTAAAAACTTGCAAAACCTCTTTTAAATTTTTTCAAAATATTGCTTAACACATTGTTATGATTATTTCTGCTTTGAAAAAGAAAAAAAAAAAAATCCTAACGTTAAAAACACATCAAAAATTTATAATTTTTTAATATTCATCGGTGAGATAGGCGAGAGGTATATTAGACTTTATCAACGGTTTGGCCTAAGAACGTAAGTTGCAAACTCTATAAAGTCCATGTCATGCAATAGCGATTATGATTTCGAAATTTTCCGTATAATTGCCGGCAAAAAATATAGGTATAGTTAGGATTTTAGTTTACATCTATGAAGTGCGCGCTTTTAAGTTTGATAAAAATCTGATCTGGCGTACGTACGATAGCGATCGATATACGACGTAAATATACCTTCATTCTATATATTGTTTTCATTTATCACGCATACAAGCTAATGGTGGACACTAAAAAATTGCACCGGAACGCTTATAAAATTTCATTCTCGTAAAATTACGAATTAAGAATAGAGTAAGGATAGAGGAAGGATCTGCGAAGGAGGTTCAAATAGTAGCAAATTTTCCAAATTTAATATTCAAGTTTTTCAACTTTTATACATCTCTAATCTAAATTATATGATACGTCGGCGAGCATGACTGACTCTATGCGCTATACGTTCTTCGTATGCATATGGCATACTCTAG